CTTCTTCTTCTTCTTCTACATCGATGAAACTTTGAAAAAGGCAGCCAAATCATGCTCGATCACAAGATAACAAATACTATCAAAAACTGGCAATACAAAAAAAACTGCAGCCGAAATAAGCTGACTATAACAGCAAAACCAAAATTGAAAATAGGATATGTGTTTTGTTTAATAAATTCTTACAAATAGAAAAAAAATAATTTTTCTTGAAGCGCTTACAACTGTCAATGAGTCTTTGGACTCATTTTCTCATAAAATAAGAGACATATATTTGTGACAACGAACATTTCCTAAGTATGCTATGGTTTTTTCAACCCCTCGTTATAGTATTTTAGCTAGTTTATATTTCTTGTAAGTACAATACCAGATATTTTTTCTCTTTGATTTTTTTGTGATATTTGAAGCAATGTTGCGGTCCTTTTGTTTAAATGATCTTATTTTAAAAAAATGACGAATAAATTTTGCTCATGGAGATGCCATCCGACAGGCTGATGCCTTTTTGGTATTCTCCTAAGCCGAACTAGTTTGTAAGCGTACTTTTTTATAGAATGTATGCTGATAAATTTCGGCTTGAAAAATAAAATCTTATGATTATACCTTCAAGTAGGGTTTTCTCGAGAGGGTCGAAATTTCATGAATTTTTGAAAACTTTATCCACTTTTTATAGGTCGACCAAATAGATTTTCGAAGCTCTCACAGAGCAGTAAAAAGTCCTTGTTTTGGCCTATTTTCTGCGCCGCAGGCAAAAATTTTTGAAAAAAATCAGGCCTAAATTGGTGTTGTTAGGCGTTTTTTGGAAATTTCGCGCTCCCCCTTCAAAATTAGTATATATTGGCGCCGAAGGCACCTTTAGAAATTTTTGAGGGTCTGTCATCGAAAATGGATATCTCAAAAAAGTACAAAGGGGGACCTTTTGTCGTCTGCGGGTCGAATCCCTGAGGGGGCGCCCCCCCCCCCCCCCCACGCTCCTGCTTTCAATTCTATTACTTGGCGATTATCTTTTGGTCCAAATGTGACATAAAGCACCCAGAAGTTTGTGGCCCTATATATTGCTGAATATGTGCATGGTTACATTCTCGGCTCGGTTTTTCTGCCTCACTCCCATGCAACGAGTGCGAATCATGGTGGCACTCGAACACCCGCCCGGGTTGACCAAAAAAGCTAATCATACAATATTCATATTTGAAAAAATGCTAGTCACTCATTTTTCATGCAATTCCATTAGTACAGAAAATTGCATGAAAGGTCTAAGATTAATGATTTTCAACTATGGAAATTGTATGACCAGCATTTTCTCATAAACTAAAAGATTTTCACTTCCCCCTTTTCAACTCTAAACAACTTAACACCACAGAATGTCATTCTCTATTTTGTTGCCTTAGCAATTCAACATCGCTACATTTTAAAAACGTTTCTATAATTTCTCCAAAATGAAGACAAAACTTCAAGGGGGACGTTAGTAATTATCAAAGATTTGCCATTTAAAGCTAGAAAATTTCGCGCTACTTGTAAGTTTTGAACAGTAATGACCTCACCAATAGTTTCAATGAATCGTTCCAAGGTGAAATGAAATGGCCTTGCCAAAAATTTCAATGAATCGTTCCAAAATGAAATGAAATGGCCCTGCCAGTAATTTCAATGAAACGTTCCAAAATGAACCAAAAACAAGCAATAATTAAAAGAACTTCAAAGGCCCGCAAATAAATAGAAAAATTTTGAATATGGTCTAATTTTCTGATATTTTCAGCCGGTATAGTAATAAGAAAAAGGTTTAACCAACCACAAAAGCCTTAAAACTTAAACTTATAACCTGATCGCTTTGTCAGCTTTTTTTGAAAAGTAGGCACATAAATACAACGCCAAAGAGTTTGCCAGCCCCCAGTCCCAACCTAGCAACCCAAAAACAAAAGCGATTGTCCTGGGATAAAATTGCTAGTGCACGAGTCAAGTTCTTGCGTTTAGTTACGTTTCCGGGAGGTTGCAAGGAAGCGTCTTTTCAAAAAAAGCGGACAAAGCTCAAGTAAGATTGAAAGTTGAATATGAACAAAAAGAAAGAATAAACGAAAATGAGACAAAATTTACACTGGCTGATCATAAACTAGATAACGCTCTAAAAAATACAAATCAGTTTTGTCTTCGTAAACGGACATTTTGTTTTGTACTCATTGAATTAATACACGGCATTTTTTCTTCCTTAAGAACTCTCGATGCGTCAAAAAAAATTAAGTTTTGTCCGTAGGTGTTTTTTTGCAGGCTGCCTACACTTTTCGACATATTTGGGTGGGCTCCGCTGAAACAGGGCTCCCTTCAACAGCATTTGTTGTTCTAGCAATACCACTCACGGCCGCAACTCGCTGGTTACAAAGGGAGGGTGGGAATAAAACTTCACGGTTTGGCACCATGCTTTTTATGTAAGCAGAGCCAAAGTACAGACACAACTCGCCAATTTTCTCAAATTTTTTTCATGTCATAGGAAACGCCAACCTTTTTTTTCAAATGCAAGGAAAATCATCATATTTAAGGCCATCGCTGATACTTGATTCATTTCGTAGGCCACTTTTAGGCCCAATTCTTTTTTTTTGTCAGGTAATTCTGGGAGAGATGGAAAAAACAACCCGATAAATGAGTTCGGGGATTTTTTTCGGAATGACTGAAGAGCAGCTCGCTCAAAATCTAACAAAAATTTTTCAGGCCGGTAGTTGGGTGCTAAATCAAATAAAACGCCTACAAAAAGCTATTGTTATTTTTCTGTTTTTTTTGGGACGGAAGGCGTACATGCAAGCTGGTGCAATGCCAGATACACTAACATGAATATAGTATAGCTGATAGAACGTTTTCGGAGTAATTTTAGAAGTTCCATCGGCTAAGCAGAAAAATGATTTCCCAGAACGCTCAGATTTTTGGGGTAACCACACAATTTTATTCGCTCGAGATCGTTTGATCCACTGTCATACCAGAGAAAATTTTCAAAAATCTCGGGAATCTCAAATTTTTGGGCAATGGGGATGGGTGGCATATTTACATCTAGCCGCTTACGTCTGCGGGCAGCCGTTTGGATCAGTTTGTCTTTTATTGGGAGGGCAAACTGAATAGCCAAAACATTTGTCACTGGCAAAATCGCACTGACAGCTGCAACAATCGGTGTATGAGTTTCGCTGAGATCTTTTGAAAGCTTGATGACATTTCGGGCACCCGATTTTCGCGCTGTAATGTCATTGTTATGCTCTCCACGCGTCTCGATCAATTCGTTATTTTCAGTTATGGCAGACGCTCGCCATTTTTGCGTTTAAAATTTTTTGAGCAAATCCAGTTCCCGGTAAACTTATTAGTTCGCTTGGAAAAAAAATTGTGGCTAGACGCTATAAAAAATTGGCGAGCTTTTAGATGAAACTGTGAATTCGAAAGAAAACTCAACCATAATTTGTTTTTTTTGTGTGTTTGCGTTTGCTTATCACTTGACCACAGTATAAAGTGATTGTAAGAAATTTATACTTGTCGGAAACTTTGCGTCAAATTGTTATGAATTAGCACATGCAGGTTTTTTAGTAATCATAAGTAGTTTAGGAAGCGTCAATTTAGGAAGTTTTTCAATATGCTGCGTGCGGTAATTGCAGAATGAACTTTGTTGTGATTAGATTACAGATAAAAAGTTCAAAGAGCATTAATTTTAGAAGTGAAAGGACTAGGTGTTGAAATGTGCGGTGCTAAACTGGAAAATAGGAGTTAAACTGTTATGGATATAATTGTTTTGTAGTCAAATGACTAATTGTGTAAATGTACTGTGTTAAGTTGGCTGTAAATAAATCGTAGGACACCAAATTTTCAAAGGTGATTATTTTTGTTCCGACTCCCATAACGAAAGTAACGGAGCATTTGTACTCGGGGTGGGTTTCTTTTTCTTCAGACAAGTTTCGACATTTCAATTAGCCGTTTTTGACAGAAAAATTTACATAATTCAAAAGGTATTGTTGTCTTGAGTTTAAATTCGAAAAAATATTGTACCTCTAATCATTTTTTGCAAAGTTATGGGGGCTATAAAAATGCCATTTTGGTCAATAGGGGACAAATAACGCGCGATGTCTTTCGCGCTATTAACGCTTATGCGGAGACTTAACCCGTCTTAAGATTAATTCCAATTTGGTTAAAGAAAGCTTATTTGCCTATAATAAGAAAGCTTATTTGCTTATTTATCAGTGGGAGCGAAATCTATCACTTTGTACTTTACCTGGCGTGTGGGTATGGTTTTCACAAACAATTCAGTTTAAAAAAAAAATGAAATTTGTTACATTTAATTTGTTTGATGTTATTACTGCTCAAAAGACCCTTGAGGCAGTAAAAACATTCAGGGCTTCACCCTGATACAAGACGTTTTCTTCAAATTTTTAATTTTTTAATTATCAGACCTTGATCAAGGCAAACATGAACATGCCATACAAAAAAATAGAAATTTTTATTGTTTTTTAAAAAAAATTATAAGGAGAAAAGGAAAAATTCTAATTTGTGTTTCCAGGACTACGTTATACACACAAAAAAATAAATTGTGCATGCAATTTTTTCTGAAAATGTTTGTTTGAGTACAAAATTCGATTTGCGGTTTAAAAAAAATCAAAAAAAATGTTGGGAAAATTTCAGTATTACTTGGAAAAATTTTTTGTTGTCGTCATCAAAAAAATGCTAGTCATACAATTTCCATGTATTTAAATTGTAATATTAGCATTTTTTCCACAAAAAGGTTTTCTTTTTTATAAAGTACTATAAACTGAATTTTATGCCAAAACAAGAAAAAAGTTCTTTGAAACCATTTTAGCAAATGTATGAATAATTAGTTTAAGGAATTGTATGATTAGCATTTTCGGTCTATGGAGGTCAACCCGGGCGACCTTTTGATTGAGAGGCGGAGACGCAATCCCTTCATCACCACTCGCCTGTTTTCATGTATGTCAAGTTTCAGTTCACCTTGGAATTGTTTTCAACCTTGACAACAGGTCTTGACAGCATACCTGATTCCTTTTCGTAGTTTTCCAGAGTAACCATACTGAGCTCAGGTGCTTTCCATTCCAGCTCGATCATTGCATCTTCGTAAAAGGACGAAGTCTCCTCGTAAAAAGATCTCTCATTTACAGGATCACTCACAGACCATAAACCGTTAAGCCATGCTTCAGATACAGCTTCATCTTTTTCAAAACTTGAATCATCCATTTCTAGTTTCAGATTGGTTGCAATGGTTTTTGCAAGAAGTACCTTAATAATTATGAAACACAATTTAGAAAAGAGACTAATTAACGAATGTTTTACATTCCTGTATAAGGAAAATAATCATGAGAATACTGCGGCTTGAATTGCTAAGATATACATCTCGTAGTTGATGTTTGCACTTGTGAATAAAAAGAGAGATATGAACTCTTAATCGTAATCACACATTTAGCCGTGTTCATCAATCAAACAGAGGCTGGTGAAATTATGGAGGCCCATCTAATTGAAGAACCGGACAAGTTTCAGTACAATTACTGATAATGGAATCAAGGCTGATAGTTGTTGCGTGCGTGTCGGTCAGTAGAGTATTGATTATTGTAACGCCTCTTTTTTGTATTGCTTTAGTTTATACTCCTTGTTGTATTCTGAGAGTGGGGAGGAACGTTGTCTTCGGGTGTGCTTCACTTTTCTAGAAAACTTTTCATTTTTTTCCACGCAAAATCAAGTAGCGCTAATCATTGAAATGATTCAAGTGATATGTCAAATTTAATTCCTTTCAGTCGTGATGCAAACTAAACATTACAAAAATCTGAAAACTTTTCTCAATATCGAATAAAAGTGGTTTTTCAATTTGCCTTATAGTCTGTTTTCGAGAGAATAGAGTGAGCGAACAGGCTACTAGTAGAAAGATTTCTTTTGAGCGGTGAAATTTCGTATTACTCCAGAAAATTAGCTTACGAAATTTTCTATCGCCTTCTTAGAAATCAGGTTTTCTATAAAAAACTTAAAACTGTTGAATTTTTTTGTATATGGGTATGTTTATCCTTGCGGTACCAGACTTTTTTCTCGTAATAAAGTACGTCACAGGACTCACCTGCACTCATCTTCTGGTGTGATTCAAAATGAATTCACGTTCCTTAGTTTCTCCTGCACACTTAGCCTAGATAGAGGTAACGAAATTAAATGGGATGGCAAATGTCCTGAGTTTGAAATTTAAACAAAAAAAACAGATCCTGCTACCAGGATCTGTTTTTTTTAAACAAAAAATTTTGTTCCAAATGAATTTGTGGAGTTAATATTTATGTTTATAAATTGACCGTTTAATTGCCACATGTAAAAACTGTTTTTTTTTTTCGTTGTACAAAATTTTCATTGAAAACGCATTCAATTTTCAAAGATTTTAAACATCCGGCTCAAACGAATTTTGCTTTTTACGTTGATTTTAACTTTGCCAACTCGATTTGTTGAAATTTCGTTTTTTTATCTTTTTTTGGCTTTTTTGACTTAATGGTTTTCGACTTGTTTGATATCTACTTGGTGACCTTTTATGTTTTATGACCAAAAAATTTTTTGTGCAAATATATGTTCTGAGGGGAAGGGGGATTTAGTTTTTTTTCCATTTGTGTAGATTCTTTGAATTATTTTTATGATTCGTTTCTGCTCTGGTATTTCCGCTTGGTTACCAGTTGTTACATTTTTTCCGATGCTGATTTTGCATTCTATTTGGTCTGTACACGATTTTTTCACTAAGATTTTGCCTAGCATCTTAAGTTGATTTTCAGCTGATTGTCTGTCGGCTTATTTACCCAATAACTTGTTTCCTACAAACTGCCGATAGTATTTATGACATTGTTAAGACTTCGGCCTCAAACTTTTGAGTGCTCAAAATCAACCCCTCTCGGACCACTTCATACATTTTTAATAATTTTTAACAAAAAATGTTTTCGTGTTTTAGTTTTTTAGTTCCTTTTTCAAGGGCAACAATGTTCAAAGTTCTTCTTGATAGTTTTTGAGCGTCTTGCTGTTTTAATACTATACTAGTTGTATTGCAAGTGGTGCAAAGATTAGCGTCGCTTCTGTGTTGAATCTGTTTTTTTTTCTCTTTTTTTGAAAAAAAATAATGTGGAATGCGCCCTATTTACTATGGCTAGCAAAGATGCATCCTCTCATCACGCCACGCACAGAAGACGACAAAATTTATAAAAATGGGCAAAACAAAGAAGTACTGTTTTTTTTTAGTTTTGCTATCATTGTGATCGAAACTTCCCGTGCTACTTTCACAGCAACCGGACATCCTTCTATTTGATTGAAGTTTGTTGATCTGCGTAAATGATTGAATCTATTACTGCCTGTCATATGAAGAATCGTTTAATTGAGTTAAAACGGTTGCGCCTTGAGCTGTGTTCATAAAATGGATAGCTGGAGCATCCAAAAGTTTTGGGTCAACCAATTTAAAAAGTTACAAACATCGATACACACTATTTCAATAAACATTTAAAGTAACACAATATTTTTGACGGAGATAGAGGGAACAATTTAGGTTTCAAAAACCGCTCAATAACAGTTAGTGTGACGTAAAAAACAACCTTGAAAACTTAACAGACACGTAGAACCAGTATAAAATGTTCAACTTCAAAACAGGTGTTTGAGGAACTAGAGGTCTTTAGGAAGTTAGAGGAGTTCTTCTATAAAGAAAAAAACAACCTGATAAGTGCATATTACGAAAAATCATTGCAATTAACATCGGGGTAGCTTGCTCCATGTTACCTCGATTTTTTCAGGCTGCAGGCCATTCAAGCTCTGGGGCATCAAAAACACTGTCTTCCGTACCAGCAAAGTAACGAAAAAAACCTTTCAATGGCATTTTAAATACTGCAATAATGTTTTCTAATTATTCGTCTCATAAATATTTTTGTAACTATTTTTTTTCTGAAGAATTTTTGTTTTTTGTTTATTCAAGGTTACTTTGTCAAAGTATGTGAGAAAAAAAATGCATCTTTTTGTTTAAAATTGTTTGTCGGCTTGAAACGCTTTCCATCATCTTAGACAAAAACTTTCTAACTTTTAGATATTTCTGTGCTTCTGTTGAAATACGCATTGAGAAATTCGATTTCGTTTGACTGCTTGTATATCAGAGAAAAACTCCGACTAAACCTCGAGGCCGTTCGACAAAGGTTGGTTGAAACTTCTTACAGAAAAAAAATGTTTTCTTTGCATGTTTTTTGCTCTTTTTATTCTCCCACCAGCTTTGTGAATTACAAAAAGACGTGTTTAGCGTCTCTAATTGTTCCGACTTTGAAGAAAAAAAAAAGAATATTTTGCTTGGATTAGTTTTTCTTAACTTCGACTTTTTAACTAACCCTTTTTGACGAAAGTTGTTGCCCGGCGTGTAAATTTAAAAGCATATTTAACCTGGTTTACTTTTAGTAATGTTATGCGGGTTTGATTTTTAGTAATTTGGCCAGTTTGGGATAATGCATTATTATTGCCTTCAAATGTGAAATATTGTGTTTTTATTAGGAGAATATGAGACGCTAAATGCATCCCTTTGTAGCTTGCTTACTTAAGAATGTGGGGTGCATTTTTTTTTCATTTTTTGTCAATGTCCCATTTTTCAATTCGGCTTGAAGTGCTGTGGGAACATTCAGGGCTTCACCCTGGTATACGAGCAGTCTTTATTTAATTTTTAAACTTAACTCAACCTTCGCTTACGCGTGTTATAAGGACGCAAATTATCGAGCGTTAGTTGTCTCAAGTTTTTGTCAAATCAGTCAAACTGATGTTTTTGTTCCAACTTTCGAAGAAACTGAGGAATATATATGCTTAGTGTGATTTTTTATAGTTCAGACCAATTTTATCATATTGACAGCGTGTGAGTAACGATCCGCATATCGTTATACTGCAAAGCAAGCATGCTTGCATTAGACAAAAATTCGGATGGCATCGCTGTGCAAATAAAACTTTGGTAGTTCCAATACGCAAATTCTTCAAACGTGACAAGTTGTCTGCACTCATGATTGTCCCACGAGTGGCCTACTGTGGCCTACATAATAGTTGGTCAATATAAATCTACTCAATTGTTAGCTTTTTTGTATTTGATAATTGGCTGTTCAAATTTTGTAACTTTTCAAATGTTGTTTGAACAAAAAAATATTCGAGACCAGTTAAAAATAATTGGCTTCGCCCTGCCATTGGATCAGTCTTGTATACATTCGAGCTCCAAACAACAAAATATTTCAGATTGTTTAAAAAACTTTCGTCAAAAACACTTAGTTAAAAACTCAAAAAATGACTCATTAAAAAAATCACCCGAATTGTAAATTTTCCGCACTTTCCTTCAAACTGAATCTTCAAGTCAGTAAGCACATAACTGCTACTAACTTGTTTTTCTGACTTTGAAATACGGAAAATTGACGCTTGGGGCGTTTTTGTTAGTCAATTAACGACTTTTAAGCGAAGTGTTGTTGATGAACACTTTTTAAACAATCTGAAAGATATTGTTGTTCGGAGCTCAAATGCGTACAAGACTGTTCGTGTAGCAGGGAAAAACTCTGAATGTTCCCACCATACATCGAGTAGAAGAAAACAGAGTAAAAAATTGTAAAATTTTAATGAGAAAGGTAAAAAACGCTGCTTCCCCGAGTCGAGATTTTTCACCTAATTTGAAGCGAGATTTGAGCGGTTTGAGCGGTTTTTTTAGACAATTTCGCTCAAAATTTTGCTTCAAATTGAGCGGTTTGAGCGGTTTTTGAACGGTTTTATCTAAGAAGAAGAACTGTGTGGCTCCGACCTTCGAGATCTCAGTTTTACTCGTCGTGAGCTAACAATTTGTGACAATTAAAACTGAGCAAAAACCTGGTTTTAAAACCTCGTTTTTGATGAGCAAGGTGTTTTAAATTGAGCAAAAACACTCTTAATTACTTTAATTTGATTAAAAACAAGTTTTAACATTATTCTGAACATCTTGCCTTTTATGAAAAAATGGTTATCATACAATTTTCATATATGCAAATTGTATGATAAATTTTTTTTTAGCTTCAAATTAAATTTTCGTTTTTGATGAGCAATGTCATTTAAATTGAGCAAAAGCACTTTTAAATAAATTAAATTTGTTTATAAACAAGTTTGAACAATTTCTGAAAATCTTGCCTTTCATGAAAAAATGGTTATCATACAATTTTCATATATGGAAATTGTATGATAACCATTTTTTTTTTCAGAAAAAAAATAAACGTAGTTATATTTCATCACCAGACTGTTGTATTTGGTTCAAATAGCCGGAGAAACTAGATTGAATCTTTTTTTAATGGTTTTTTGAAATTGGATGAAAATTGTATGATTAGCATTTTTCCATACATTTGATGCAGGCAATTGTATGATAAGCTTTTTCGGTGTGGGGAAATTTAAAATAAGCATTTTCGGTTTATGGATGTCAACCCGGGGTCACATTACCTTTCCAGGCCTTTTTGTTGGTTTTAATCGGTTTTCTTTATAAGACCGCTCAAAAACCGCTCAAATCTTGCTTGAAAAACCGTTCAAAAATCACCACAAGAAATGAGCGGTTTTTGAGCGGTTTTTTAAGCAAGATTTGAGCGGTTTGAGCGGTTTTTCCAAAAGAAACCGCCCAAACCGCCCAAACCACTCAAACCGCTCAAATCTTGCTGAAAAACCGCTCAAACGGCTCATATCTTGAGCGGTTTTTGAGCGGGATCTCGACCCGGGTCAAACCAAAATATGACTTTACTTAAGATATAACTAAAACATCGTAGACTATATCGGCCTGCTGGTAATTCGGTTTATTTAGGGATCGAAGCTGGATGATGATGTATGCGATGGCTGTGACTGCCACAGTTTTCATGGTATGTGGCCTGGCTGCATCCATCAGCGCATTGAAGATCCAACTGGCCGAAAGGAAAGCCAAAACTGCCAAGGAGGACAAACTGCGCATGATCGAAGAATACGCGAGGATAAAAAGAGAGAAGGTATACTGATGTGTCGGCCAGTTGCATTTGTTCGCTGAAAAATATTTGCCTTAATGATTTAAAATTTTAGGGTATAAAAAGTAGTAATCAACGCATTATATCATTAATTTAGATTTTTTGAAGACTTTTTTTCTTTTTTCAGTTTTAGAATTGATAAAAAGAGAACAAACTCCGAAAAAAAAAATTAAAATTAATTAACGGTGCAAATTAAATAATAATTTTACTTGCGCAGCTTAAAAAAATGTTGACAGCGGAACTTAAGAAATGACTGATGGCGCGACTCAAGATAAGACTTTTGGTATTTCGCTCAGTAGCGCAGGTCGCGGCGGTTTTTTTTGAGTCGCGCCGGTCCCGAATTGAAAATCCGTCGCGCGATTAATTAGGCTGCGCCGGTACCGATGGTTTTATGTGTCACGCTGGTCGCGGTAGTTTTTTTTCAGTCGCGCCGGTCTTCAATTACCAAGTTTCGGTCGCACCATTCTGGAATTGCGTATAAAAAGTCGAGCCGGTCTGGAATTGCCAAAATTGGGTCGCATCGGTCTTTTTTCTAAGTCGCGGACATCTTACCGGCATGAAATACTCCAATTCTTAATTCTAATTTCCCTTCGAATGATTCCCTAAAAAAGAATTCATCGTTTTCCTTAGGAGTTGTTTATACAAATTTACAACTAAATTTATAGAAAATGTGATTTTTCTGCAAATCAAAAGTGTTTGCGTGACTTTAGACTGTCGGAGGAAATTTACCAGAGGACATCTAATAATTGGCGTTTCGAATCTGTCAAAGCAGTTGGGCAACACGAAGTTCGGAATATATTGTCGAAAAACGCGGATTATTGCTTAATAAATGTGGTATTCATGTGTAATTGATTTTGTGCGAGTTTCAAACAACTTAAATAGTTACATTTTGTGGTGCCCTCAAATGCAGCAGGTGTGATAATTTCAATTCTGAATAAAGCTGTTTTCTTTTCTTATGAACGATTGTCTTACTGAGTTAGGACCGAGTTGGTTAACTCATAGAGTAATTTCGGATAGGGTACACCGTCTGCTCGTCACGCTATCTTATTTTCGGCCGGATAGATTCGTGCAACTTCTTAGTCTAATACCGATCCTAATCTTACTCTTATACTATCTAGTCTCAGGTTGTTTAACTAGTCTCTGCTAGGCTCAATAGATCTAGGGTATACTGGTTTATTGCGGCTGCTGAAGTGCTCGGGAGAGTCCAACTAATTTCTAAGTTAAATTCAAATCTCTCTGGTGCTGAAATTACAAGTAACTTCAGCACTTACAAATAAGTGGGTTGTTAGTTAGATGGATCATGATTGGTTAATATTAAATACTTTACATTGGTAAAATATCTAATTTATCCAATCATAAAATGTAGTTTAGATCAGGTTCCACCCATCCGGGTTTTACAGAGTTTTTTAGAATAGTTCTTCTGCAATTCGAAGGATGGATGATGGACGTTGGTGTTTGGCGAACATCTTATTTCTTCTGTTTCCTTTTTGTTAAAGAAGTTCCAGGAAGCTGGAGTTTGAGACATAAGACGTTGTGTCTTCTAGTGACAACGACTAAGTCTTTGCAACAAACTCAAATCTGATTTCAGAATGGTTGGCTATGTCAGGTTTTTCTGTTCTGCGTGGAGAACTTCTTTTGTGTCTGATCTAGTTTGGGAATGGCGTGGAGATTGTGCGTGGAGGGGATGCCTGGTTACTCGGATCTGTACGTATACTTGAACATCGAGGTGGTCATTGGTCTAGTTCAATGAAGTCCTTTTCTGCGAAGTCAAGTCGTACTCTAAATCCTTTGAGTTGTGATTGTGAGTGGCATATCGATTGTGGTTGGCCATTCTCTCTCGAGTGTAGTGGGGTCGTTTTGTCTTTAGATGTTCGTCCTTGGTGTTGTATTCTGATCTATGTATTGCATAATGTAATTTACATTTTATAAAACATTTATTAGTTTAATATTTTTTAATTATGATTTTAGTTAGTTGTTTTCACAAAAGCTTTTTGTTTTAGTTCGGTTATTTTGAAGAGTTACTCACACTTGAGTAGCTCTTATTAAAAATAGTGGTGTGGTCACAAAGCGTGGATGTAGCGCGGTGGGTTAGGCCGGCTATAGAGCATGCTCAGGACGTCCTTCCTGGTGGGTTAGGCCAGGAGTGGGAGTATGATTTCATGCGGTTTTTGTGAGGGGTCCTGTTATGTGACAACGTTTTATGTTGGGTTTGCTGTGGTTTTTCTTATGTCTTGTTGGTTATGTCCTTTTTCCAAAAAGTAAATTGTTCGTGGTATGGGTTTGTCTTTCGACTTTTTTGTGTTTTATTATTTCTTTCTTAGACTTTATAATAGTCTTCAAAAGAATAAATTATCCAGTTTTAAACTGGGTTAATCCGGTTTGGGTACCGTTGGTTTCCTTTTCTTAGTCATGCTGTTATTCTATGATTTGTGGTATTTAGTAAGCTGCGTTGGTTAGTTTTGTTTAGTATATGATTCCTTTCCAACCGGGTTAAAGGAAAGTTTGAAACATGTTATTATATGTTAGAGTTGTTGAGTGTGAAAACTTGAAACTGAAATTCATTATTTTAAACAATTCTTCGTGGGCGAGCTGTGCGAGTGTGGATAGAATTTCTGTGCGAATAAATGAGAATATCAAAAGGTTAGTACTGCAATTGCATTTTATTAATTTACTGCATAGAATTTGGAAATTTACTGCTAGTTATGGGGGAATTTTAAGATACAAATTTTCATTATAATTAGATTTACTGCTTGTGGGGGAAATTTTAGAAATGAATTTACTGCATTGGTATTAAATTTATAAATTTATAAGTGTAAGAGATTAATAGAATTTTTGAAATCTGTTTGATGAAATTTGCGATTTTTATTTGTCTTTTGTGGTTTTTGTAGGTGATCGTCGGATGAAGGCTAAAAATCTAAAGAAAACATGAATAAAGTATGGTGAGTTTTTAATATTTCAATTAGTTAGTTATATTCATTTAATTCATACTTACCTGTTAGTCGTCGGGGAAAAAACCGTGGGGGAAGATGTCGTGAATTAGTTCTGAAGTTGTTAGTAGTTTAGCTAAGATGCGGATGATATTTTTAGTCTGAAGCAGTGGCCAAAGCAATTGAAGTGCCTTAATAGTGGTTAGTTCTTCAGTGCCAACTGCAAACTCATAAGGTGTGTTTTGGATTAGATTATATAATTTGTGATTGAATTTAGTGTTGTGGATGAATTCTAAAATTGGGATTTCTATAGGTTGTACAAACTCGTGCGGGATAAGGAAGGGTCGGGATTCTTCGGCGTTGAAGGTCTTGGTGATGGGACAGAAGATGTACATTTGGGTTATGGGATCATAATTGCGAAGAATACCATGGAGGTTAGTGTCTTTAATACAATATGTGAAATTTAGGAAAATGGTGAAGTGTATTTGGAATTAATGAATTGAAAACGATGGTGTGGTTGTCTAGAGGGTGTGTGTAGGTCAAAGTGATTTTGGATGAAGCGATAATAACTATATGTGTGGGTTTGTTTAGTGCGCAACATAATATCGTGTGAGCAGTGTAAATCTCTTTCGTGTGGTGCAAGGAAATGAAAGGTTAGTGAAAATATTTGGAAGCGTTCTTTAAAACTTTCGTATGCTTGTGTGTCTGTTAGTGCTTCTGAAATAATGTGATCAAACTTTCGGTCGAAGATGTTTAGTGTGAATATATATGGTGTCTTGATGAAAAATTTCTCGGTAATTTGTGGATTAGCGAAGCGATCGTCGTCTAAGAATTGATCTTGGTTAGCTCTGATGATGTTGTGATCATAGTATTCGAGTGTATATTCGTTAGCTCTAGGTGCAGTGTGTGTTTTTAGTGATTTTTTATATCCAACGTAAGTAAATTGTCTAGCGGTTAGTGGTGTAGTGAGTCGATATAGCATGTCCGTATTTCGCTCTATATCGATGTGAGTGTTAGATAAAGGTAAGCAAAGAGGGTTAGTAAAATGATAATATGAGGTCCAAGAGAGAGTGGGCATTAAAACGTATTCATCTACAAAGTTGCGTGTTTCGTTAGTGTCGTGGGGGGTGTTTAAGGTGTATTGTGGGAATGAGGGTAAGGTGATGGCTAAAAATTCTTTTGTGTTAGTATGCTTGGGGTGGTTGATGTATTCACGGGCTGTTCCTGGTTTTGCTGGGAAAGGATGGTTGGGGAACTTTCTTTTAAAAGTGCGGTAAGCTCTATTAGTGTTGAGTGAGGATTCAGTTGATGTGGATGATGGTGCTAATGATTCAGTATAATTTGAAGAGGGTGTAGGGGTAGGGGGGTTGGATGAATTTATTGTGGAGGAGATTTGGTTTATGGTTGGGGTATTAAGGTGGTAGGGTTGTTGTTGAAGGGTAATAAAATTATCTAGCTCTGGGGAGATTCGGGGGGTGTCTGGAGAATGAGATGATTGGTCAGAATGGTATGAGGAGTAGGTTGGGGTAACTTGGGAAGCATAAGAGGGTGTGGGAGTGATTGGGTCAGGGTTATTGGATAATATGGGTTGAAAAGGGGGTTGAGAAAAATTAGAAGAGTTATGAAACTTATTGGATGGGGATGGTTCTGAGTCGGCAAATTCATCGGGGGTTTCAATATTCGGGTTATTGAGTTGTGAGATGGAATATAAAACTGAGATATGTGTATTAGTGTCGGAATTCATGCCTGATGTTACATTACTAGGTGGAAAATCGGGTGGCGGAAAAGCAAAAAGTGGTATTATTGGGATTGGAGAGGTAAGATTGGTTGGGTGGGAATTTGATCGGTGTAGTGATCCAAGTTGGCGGCTCATCGTGGGCTAAAAAAATGATTATTTTGAGACTGAAAAGCGGTGGTATGGGGTTGTTCAATAATTTGTTCATAAGTATTATCATCTTGTGACTGGTGTGTCATTATATGTTGGATGGGACTTTGTGATGTGGTGAGTCGAAAATTTGGATTATGTGTGATGGCTAAATTTCGAAAATTTCGTGGGACTAGGGATAGTGGATGGTTATTTGGTAGGGCTGGTAATTGTGGTGCCGTTGGCGTTATGTCTACATTGTTATGTTCTTCGTCGTATGTATTTTGTCGTGTTGCTATTTTTGTGTTATATTCTTTTATTTGTGCGTCTAAAAGAATTTTGTTTATAGATGTAGAAAAGATTCCAAAAAATCCTGCAAAGAGTATGCGTGCTACGCTTGCTTGTCTGTTTACTTGTGTGTGTATAGCACATGTGTTATAGATTCCTTTTAAAAGTGAGAAAAGAAATCCAATAAAGTTAAACATTGCGTATAAAATAGTCAATTTTTCTAAGATGTAGTAGGGCCATCCTAGAAAATCGATGATCTCATTTTTGAGTGTAACAAAGCTAAAAATGTTAATTGGTGATATATCTTGGGGACGGTATTTTTCACCGTTTAGATATATATAATCTTTAATGTCTTTAAAATATCCGCTATAGTCTTGCGTGTAGATATCGGCAAATCCTGCGGTTTCTGCAAGTTTGCGTAAATTTTGGTCTATTGATTGTCTTTGTATAGTGTCCATTTGTGTTAATAATTCTTGGAATTGTTGTGTTCTAATGTGATGTTGAATATCTGATTTTGAATAGATTCCTATTGATTGTAAGTCTATATTTGGGTTTCGAGCAATAGCGCGAATGCTTTCTGGTGAAAATTTTTTGAGTGATTGCATTAATGTGGGATATGGAGTGAGAAGATAATATTTATTTTCATCAGGGTTTAGTTGTACTACGTTGTGGCTGTTTTCTGATCCACATGGGACTGCGGTATCCCAGAAATAGGTTCTTCGTGAAAGTGTATCCACGAAATGTACTTTATTCTTATAAAAGATAGGGATTCTTTTATAACATCGTTTATCTTCAAAAACGTATAGTGGTGATACTTTTTTAGTACAAGTATA